TTGCAATGAAATCCAAGAAACTCATAATTTACCTTTCGTATGAACTTCTTTATTTCTACTGAGTCAGTCAGTCTGACTTCAATTTCTTCAAATTCTGGAATAGTAAGCTTTTGTTGTTGTATTTCAGGAAGTTTAGGTAGATGGTCAATAATATCCTGCATTTCATAAAGATACTGTTCATTTGTTTCATCTTTCGCACTACAGTCTAAATTACTTGTTAAAAGTTCTTGCTTTATCTTCTGGATTTCTGTTTCGAAAGTATATGAAGAAGGAATAAAGCTTTTCATCTCTACCAACATTGACGTAGGATTCATGACTAGCGAGTTTGGTGCTGTAGTTGTTTGAATTGTTGTTGTGCCGATTGTTGAAATCATATCTTTTATACAAAATAAAAAAATAAATAAAAATAAAACTAACTTTATTTTTTCTATCTTAAGGAAATTCATGAAAATTCACGGGGTGAAAAAAGAGGTGAAAAAACAGGTGAGATCTAACCTCTTCACCTAAATTATATTTTTGTCTGATTTACATCTAATGAAAAAGTTTAGAAGAATTTTCTTATTCTTTCTGGCATATTTTTGTCTTTCCAGTACTCCCGCTCTAATGGTCCCAGATGTGTTGGCTTCGACTCTCTCAAGTTCTTAGATGGTATAACATCTTCAACGCCTCCTTCATATCTTACTTTATAAGTGTCATCGTTTGTGTTATAGCCAAGTATTTCAATAACCACTCCTCGCTTTGCTTCGTCAATGGTTTCAGCAAGTTTGCCATTACTACTTTCGACTAATTTATGTCGAGGATAAAACGCAATAGAGTCGTCGGCAGCTTTTATAAGATATCCATTACCTTGCGTAGAGTCTACAATATAATAATTTCGACTTAACCTTAAACGTTTCTTTGTCAACGGTTTGTCGTCAAGAACTACACGAACTTTTGTACCAGGAATGAGGGTAAATTGTGTTGAATTTCTGATATTTTGTGTTTGGCTTCGTTTCTTTTGTATATACTTTTCTTCTTGTTGTTGTGTCATTGAATTTGGTGTATGTCCTGTTGTAGAATGTGTTGAGGAATTATATACTTCGAGAAAATGTTTCATTGTTTCTTCGGTAAAGTCTCGCTCTTGGTTTAAATCTCTGAGAGTCCTTATGAAGCGGTTTATGATGCCGAGTATGTTATGGTTATGGTCTTCAGTAGTGTAGTGAGTTATGTTATGCTTAATGAGAAATTCTGTGATTTCATTGCTGAGGTATGCACTGTCTTGGTCTGATGTTAAAGTACTTGGGTTATGTTCTGCTACAAACTTTTGTAAAACTCTTAACACTTCACGAGTTCCTTTATTTTTCATTGGATATGCATATGCTTTACGAGTGTTAACATTTATGAAGATGAGGAATGGTTTATGTCCTCCTTTTCTGCTTTGAATGAGAGTGTCAAATTGGTATGCGTCAGGAGTGTTGGAGTAAATTGGTAAAAAGTAGTCGTAAGGGTTTATTTTTGTTTGATGTACAACATTTTTGTCAAAGAACTTTTAACTTCAGCTCTGTTAGTAAATCCCCAACTCTTTGCAGCTTCATTGAACTTCTTAAATGACCTCCATGGATGTTGTTCGAATACTTCTTTCAAGCTCATTTATGTAAAGTTAAAGATTTTAACCAACTCGTATCCAAGCGTGCATTGTTATATAAGGAGGCATATAATCTTTTCCATTACCTGCTGGGTCTGTAATACCAGCTACAACATGTGTATGATTTCCTGCAGTTCCACAGAAAATACCTGTGCTAACATCTTTGGGGTCATCTGAGATATCATATCTGTTCATTCCCTGTCTATTCGAACCCGCTGCAAGATTTATATAACCTCTTTTTGTTATTGAATGTGAATGGTTTCCTTCCACAGATGTTCTTCCACTGAACCTATGCATATGTGAAGGAAGGTTTTCAATACCTATTTTCTTTGAACCTCCCATCTTCATTGACTGCGTATTAGTGTAGAATGGAAAACTGTCAACTATTTCATACCATCTACCACCAAATAAAGTGTTTGGATTTATTGGATTCATAGACGTATAAACAGCTCCTATAGGATATATTAAATCATATATGCTCATAACTCTATAAACATATTCTAAAGAACTTATGTCATTAAATACCATTTGGAATGTATCTCCCGGATGAAATGTTGCATTTGTTCCACTTTTATAATGTAATGTTAGTTCAATAGAATTATCCAAGAAAAATTCAAAAGTATCTGGTTGAAGACCTCTAACAAATTCAAATGGAGTTGCTGGTTCACCATTTATAATTTCTGTTGTAAATGTCATTGTATCTGGTTTCGAAAATTTCTTTGTTAGTTCTGCATCCACATAAGTTTTATCTGCTTTCTTATCTAACATTGTTGGTAGTTCATATGCTTCAAAGTTTCTGGCATGACTTTCAATGTTCCTGCAACTCTTATCTAAACTGTTAAGAGTATCTTTTACGCTTGTACTTGGATTTTCTAATGGTGCACTTGAACCAAGGTCAAAGTTCAATATTATGTCGTCTGCTCTAACAGTAGTGAAGGATTTATGTGTATGGTTCTTGTCAGCTTTACTGTCTAATGTAGCTTGAAGTTCATTTATATCGGAGATGTTGTGTTTATGAGATTTCAAAACTTTGTTCATTGCTTCGAGTTCAACTTTGTCAGCTTTACTTTTAATAGCATCTTCAAACGTTATTTTTGCCTTAACTCTCAAAGTAAATCTTGGTTCAACTAATACACCGTTAACATTGAAAGTAGAGGCATAAATTTCACCGGTATAACCAAATGCTTCTGGTGCTTTAGCTACATCATACTGTACAGTACAGCTTATGTCATAACCTTTAGCACGAATGTATTTATATCTTCTTTCATTAACATTTTTTGTCTTCGCTTCATCACTTCGTGTTAAATATCCATGGTAGTCCGTTATAATCTGTTCGTCTGAAGTTATATAATGAACATGGTTCTTGTCCGCTTTACTATTTAATGTAGCTTGAAGTTCATTTATATCGGAGATATTGTGTTTATGAGATTTCAAAACTTTGTTCATTGCGTCAAGTTCATTTTTGTCCGCTTTACTATTTAATGTAGCTTGAAGTTCATTTATATCGGAGATATTGTGTTTATGTTCTTTATCTGCTTTTTCGGCTAATTTCTCTTCTATCTCATTTATTTCAAGTTCATGCCTACCACCACCTCCCGAAGAAGTATTTTTCTTCAGCTCTTGAAGAACGTCCACTTCGCCATCTTTGGTGTCAATAATGAGACTTTGTGTTAAAACCTTTCCTGTCTTAATGGATGTTTGTAAAACTTCTTCTTCACCGTGTTCGGGGTCATGGTCGTCATCATATCTTGTGAAATCAGAGATGTTGTCATACATTAAGCATATCTGTCTCAAAAGTTCTGCTATTTGAAACTGGAACGAAAGATATACAGAACTTTCATCATCTCCTAAAGTCAAGTCTGCTTTCTTAAGTATTTCTTGAATGTATGCAATGAGAACAGAGTACCTTGGAAAATATTCGAACAATATTTCATTAGCTGTTGGTTTTGGTGGTTCTTCTGGAGTTTCTGTTGTTTCAGTTCCTTCTGTTGGAGTTTCTGCATCTCTTGACTTCAATGCTCTTGCTCTCAAAGACCTAAATGTTAGAGCACCGGGTTTTACAAAGGACTTTATAAATGCTTTAATAGTTCCTGGTAAGTTATTGTTAGCATTAAGTAAGTTCCTTATGCTTCCATCATGTACGTCCATAGCACTATGTAAAAAATCTATACTTTTCTTGTAGTCAGCAATAGACTGACTGTGATTTTTTAAAGATTTGTCAATACCTTTAAGCCAATCTTCATGCATGTCTGATACTGAGCCAAGAATATCATTTGCTTCCTTTAGTGTATTTTGTGCTTGTCGTAAAGTATCCAATCCCGTACGTGCATTGTTTGCTATACGTCTTACAGTATCTATTTGACTCCTTGTTTCTTGCATCCAACCAGATAAAGTTTTAATAGTATCCGAACCATTTGAAATGAAGTTCAAAGCATTTTTAACGTCATTTAAAACTTCTTCACCAAGTACTGCCCATATCTTTCCGATTTGGTATTGAAGAACTCCATATGAAGCAGCTGTTAAACCAGTATTTATAAGGTCCCATATCCATGATTTAGCAGTTTTTCCATCCTTTCCATCCTTTCCATCCAAACCGTTTTCGCCTTGAGGTCCTTGTATTCCTTGTATTCCTTGTATTCCTTGTGGTCCTTGAGGTCCGGTGTCACCCTTCTCTCCTTTCAGTTCATCTTTATGTTCGTTATAATATTCTAATGTCATAAGGTGTACATCATTACTGCTACCAGCAACGCCAAGAATTTGTTTCTCATTCATGACTAAATTCTTTAAGCATTTAATGTTGTCGTCAAATCGAAAGCTCTTTAACAATTCAATGAGAACATTCAGTACTTTCACTAATGAGGCATCTACTGTAGAATTTATATATTGCACCGTTCCATCATTTATGATAGGAACCTTGCTTGTTGTAATGAATGGGTCATAAGTGTTAAAAGTATCGAAATCAATGACTTTTTTAGTTTTTCCATCGTCAATGACTAAATCATTGCCTTCAATGGTTAAAGTTGAGTTTTCGTTTACTAGTTCATGTGCTCTTCTTGCTTCATTTGTTTCATACGCATATGCAGCAATAGTCATATTTTAATGAGAATAAAATGTTGTTCTATTTGCAAAGTACAGACCCAAACGAATACGGAATAGTAAAGCTACAAACAAACTTAGGTCTTCAGAATGAAGCACTTGCTTTCAGAGTTGTTGACTTCAATACTATCGCAACTTTTGTCATAACAGATGAAACAGATTTCATGGAGTTTGAAATAGATGGAAAGAAGCACGAAATAAGATTTCACAATAATGTAGAATATAAGATGGAAACATTAGCTGGAGTGTTAAATGCTCTCATAAATACTACAATAAACAAGGATAACGAAGAAAACTTAATGAATGTTAAACTTATTGCAGGAGTTTTGAAGTTCAGTTATGCAAAGGAGTTTAAGATAACACGAATGAGTCATAGAGTTCAATTGCTTCTGGGTGCATACCATATGACATTTCCTTTGAAAAGTGTTGACAAAACGATTGAGATGAAATCTGTTCCATACGTATGTTATGGTAATTGTTTGTACATTGAGTCTAAAATAGCTAATGTCACAGGCATTTCAGGAGTTAATAGTAAAGGTTCAGTAGAATATAAGTCTTTCTGTTATGCAGTCAATTCAATGTTCATTCCAAACGTTCCTGTCATAGCAACTCATTTAGGTAAATGGATTCGCATTAGTCCTCATAATTTGAAAGACATGCAATTCAGACTTGTTGACTTTCAAGGCGAGCCTGTAGAACTGAAGGCACCAGTGCGAATGACTGTTGAAGTTGACTTTTTAGAAAATATTAAATGCAACAGCTTACAAGAGAACTCAGAGCTAAAAATATAAAGTATGAATGTTATGTATTAGGTCATGAACTTTGGTTGTTGCTGTTTGATGAAACAAATGAATTAGTTATGTCAGTCAAGAGAACAGAAAAAGGCGTCAAAGGCGCCGAGCGCAAAGCGCTATATTGTGTTAGTGAAAACTGCACCAAGTCAATAAGATTAGGTTTGCATTATGAAGATGAGTTCGATACTGTTGAAGAAGTTTTGGATAGATATTACAAATTGCTTTAATTTACTAAAACATATTTCAAACAAAGTTTATATTCTGTTGAAAGTTTTGTATATTCATTCGAATATTTATACTTAAACTCAACTCCTGTAGTTCCTGGTGTTTCAATGATGCGGATGTTACCTATTTTCATGAATGGTGGCGTTTGACCACAGCATTCGATTTCAGGGTCGAGATAGTCAATGACACATTGTTTCCCTGTTATTCGTGATATAACATTTTCAAGGTCCTCCTTTGTTAGAATTATTTGGTTCTTGCTTATAAGATTTGTCAAAAGCTTCTTATCGTCTTTGAGTAAAATTGTTTGGTATAACTGAAGAAGGTAATGGTCTACGTTATCTGAAGGATTTGTTTGAACATTTGTGTAAGGGTTGTCGTTGGCTTCTCTTGAAAGAATTTGGTCCAGTGGTGGATACTCTAACTTAACATCTGATGTAGCGTTAGCGTTTGAAGCTGAGTTTAAATTCACGGATTTCAGTTCTGGTTCTTTTTCTTTCAAACACTCTGAACTATAGTTCTTTATGACAATATTGTTTGTCGTTCGTGAGTCAACATTTGATGTTGGTTCAATTGGAACATTAACGGCACCAGCTAAGATGGATTTGCTTCTCATTTCATATAGAATAAAAACCTTTTATATGTATGAAATGAACAATATACTCGACAAGGGTTTGAATGTAAAGCTAACGAATGAAAATATTGTTGAATTCACTGAGACAGGAGCTGTGTATAAAGATGTAGAACTACTGAACAAAAGAGCTAAGGGAAGAAGCAGGAACATGAACAAAGGGTGGAAGCCTATAAAAATTTATGTCAATGATGGCTCAGGAGGTTCAAACATAAAGTATGCAGAAAGTTATAGAGTTTATGCTCTCAAAGGTGAAAAGCCTTCATTTAAGAACAGCTATTCTAACGCATATCCTCAAAAGCTAACGGATGGAGAAGTGGATGATATGAATGACAGCAAAAATATTAACAGAAATGGCGACAGAGATGCATGGAATTTGTTTACCATCAGTCAATTGAAGGTTAAACTTTAAAACAATGTTGGTCGTTCCCATGGAATATTTTTGACTTTAATGGTATTAGTCATGATATGAATCTCAAGGTATGAACGAGGAGAGATGAGAGACTTATATGCTTCCCAAATTTCTTCAAAAGGTAATGTTATACCTGACTGTTTCCAAATGAGTTCAATATCATAACGTGAGAAACCTTGAAAGATAACGAAGTCAGTTATGAGACGTTTTATGTTTAAAGCTAAAAACCTCCATGTTTGCATAAGTATTGCTACAGTTAAGTGGTAATGTCTGACTTTAGTAATGATATTAGCTAATGGTGAGTCTGGTTTTGACACTAAACCTTTACCAGCGAAGTCGTCGCAAACGAGCAGAGTGTTTGAAGGATATTTTTTGAAGGGGTATTTTGAAAGTTTTGATAGAATGTAGTTTGTCAGTCGTTTCATATCGTAAACTCCTGAGTACTGACGTAAGTGGTGTTTGTCAATAATTCTTTCCATCTCCTCAGAAGTCTTTTGCATTCCTGACTGTATAAATTCAACGATGGCATAATATTTCCTCTTACGTCGAATGTAACGTTGAAGAAATTCAATGAGTTCACTGTCTGGAACTTTAACGACAGAGGCTTGAACTT